CTACAGAGAGCCCAGGAAGATCTCAGCAAACACTTCATGTAAAATGCTCAGTGTGGCTCAGAGGGCTGTTGACAACCCATGCTCCCCTCATACTCTTCCTCCAGCTGATGTCTGTGAGGGAAACCATCCCAGGGTCCAGGGCCTCAGTCTCTTCTTAACCTGTCCCAATTAGTTCTGGCTTCTTCTTTACAGATTTTCCCTGTAGAGGTTCCTTGACTGGCATTTGCTTTTTTTTTTTTCCCTCAGTCTCCTCATTTACCAGGTTGCTACCTGACTTTATTCCATTTTGATTGGAGCTTCACCCTTAGCTTACATCTGAGGCTAGCTGTTCCCACAGGAAGTGTGCTTGGCCTGACATAGGCATAGACGGGGAATATGTTTGCTCTTGTAGGCAGCATGGAACATGTTTGCTCTCTACCTGAATCAGCCATCACAGCTCCTAGGGTAAAGTCTCAGGTGCTTTACTAAGTACACGAGGCCAGCTGTCCTAGCCCTAGAGAGCTGACCAACTTCCTCTGCTCCCCAAGCTGAGTCTCACTGAGCATCTGCCACATAGAACTCACTCCAGGTTTCTGTGTGCTCCACTCCCTACTCAGCACATCCTCACCACCATGCTTGTCGCCTTTAACCCCTCCTTATTCTTGGAGACTTTGCTAAAATGTCCTTTTGGCACCAGGACTTGTAGATCCCTTCTGGACCTCATGAAAGTGCCTTGCTAACCCCTCCCAGGGCACTATGCTGTTGATATCAAAACAGGCAACATGAAAGGAGATGTTTCATACTGTCTTCTAGGAACTAAATGGCTGGCATCACACTGTGCCCATGGGGCAGTGGGGCAATGGGGCTCTTGTGCCTTGCCAGGCAAGATTTTAGAATCTCTTCTCGCCAACCCTGTGTAGATATCATTAGTGTCACAGTGCAGCTGGTTGGGCATCAGTGTATATGTCACCACGGACATTGCTGTCGGACTGGAGAAATGCTCATTAACAACTGGGACTAGAAATAGCCAAGAGGTAAAAACACTTGCTTTCACCCCAGGTGTTGATGAAAACCTTAGCTTCCTACAGATTAGACTCCTTCCCTGCTCTATGTCCTGAAGCCTTTGGAATAGAAGGTACTTCCCCTATCCATCCACAGGGCACAAGGCCTTTTAGAGGAAGAGTAACTCCAAGGCAATGGCTGTGTGTATGAAAGGAGGCATTGCTAAAAGAAGCCCCAATTAAAGAGAATAAGGAAGAGGAGAAAGAACACTGTGGGATTTGGTCATGTCTCTGGGCAATCGCAGGTGCCTCCTATCTCCTAATTGCAGAAGGGGCAGGAACTTTATGAAGGAATACTGGTTCCTGTACCAGACAGGGCCTCTCACATGAAAGAAGAGAAGATGTGGTCCTTAAGGAACTTTTGCCCTAGCTGTGATTGTGTTTAAGATGGCTAAGGAAGATCTACCATGAGCCTGCTGCTCCCTCCAGGTCTGTCTATCATTTTGTCTGGTGAGCTCCTGCAGGTGCCTGTCCACATACGAGCCTGAGATAAGGCCCTATGTCTGGTGTCCTTACTGCTGAAGGCAGAGGGGCAATGAGGTTGAACATCACTATTGGCTCATTACATGCTCATAGGAATAAGCCTTCATTCCTGTTTGTTGACTTGATTCTTAATTCTTTGCTTGTTTTGCTTCACTTGGATGTGTGTGGGCACATAGCTCATAAGTTAATCAGAAAAGTCCCACATGCCACAGCTTTATAGACAGGCCCTGTGGACACTGAGGCAGGAGGTGACTTTGAAAGTGATGACCTCCCTACAAATCATGAGAAGAGATCCCCCCAGTATTTGGAAACTCAGCCTAGTCTCCACGCAGTTAGGTTCTGGCATACTGGGGTGGCATTGTATTGTGTCTTCCCAGGAGTATGTAGCTCATCCAGTGCTAGCACATCTGTTACCACATCTGTCCAAACAGCCCTTGGCCAACCAGTTGCTGCCCGAGTCCCTTGGTTTAAATGAGATGAGACAGCACAGGTGGTCCATGCCAACTACAGTCAAGCAACAGCAGCCATGTGTATTCCCACTGCTTTGCTGAGTCTCTAGGGGCTGGTGAGTTGTTCTGACTCACCCTGCCAAGGGCAGAGCCACTAGAAGACACCCTTGTCCAGGTCCCCCACATGCTCGCCATGAATACCCAAGTGCATGCCACATGCTAGGCTGTTGCAGACGCATTTTCATTTGATGTGGGTATTCTGAAGTCAGTGTGCATGTCCACATATGCTTTCTGTCAGCCCCATCATGATACCACCATTGCTCATGCTCCACTTTGGCCTGGCTTGTAAAGCTCACAGAGATTTGTCTCTCTCTGCTAAAGGCTGTATCATCAAATAAAAAAGAAATTTGCATCAAAATCTTCCAAAGGGAATACTCAGTCTTTCTCATGACATAGCCTTGGTTTTGCTTTTAAGGGAAAGTGCAAGGCACGCCTGTTCTCAGGCCTGTGAACTCACAGACTGTGCCTTTTGGCTTCCTTCTGTCACTATCAGCCCTGACATCTTTGTCTGGATAGTTGGCTGTCTGGGTCAACCTCTGGGCTCTACAGCAGGCTCCTGTGCTAGGTTAGAGAAGCCAGCAATTAACACATGTCAGGGCATCAGGCAGGCAGGAGGAAGAAACACTCTATCCCACCCCCAATTCATGCCTGAAGGCACTGTGGGATCCACACAGGTTGTCATCTCTTGTGGCTGGAAAGTGTACAGAGCGATAAAAAAAGCCACAGTTCTTCTCTTTCTACCCTTCCTCTGCCCTCCCAACCCTTCCTCTCCCTACCCATCTCCCTGCTCCATCCCAGAAGAATACAGGGACAGGGATGGGGTGCTGTCCTTGTGACTCCTGGCACAATGGCTTCCTGCTAAGAAGCTGATGATTGTTGGGCTTCTATCCAGTGAGGGTTGCTGGCTCATTGACAGGCTGAGAGGCCATCCCTGAATACCCTGTGACTATATCTCCCCCACTGTGAAGGCCATAGTATGCTCCTGAGAGAGGAGAGGGAAGGGGAGGAGAGGAAAGCTGCCTGGTACTCCACTTGTTCCTGTGACATCTGGATAGGTTTCTTCCAATTCCTCTCTGAATGTCTTCATCAACGTGTGTGTGTGTGTGTGTGTGTGTGTGTGTGTGTGTGTGTGTGTTTCTGCCTGTCTGCCTGGGTGTGTTGTCTATGTGTCTGTGTGTTCTAGGCATCTGCAGAGTTCTAGGACTGTAGCCTCATCCATCCTGGGGGAGGGAGGTTTGCTGTCAGGAGTGATCCCACCTCATCTGGCCTATCCTTATGGTGTTTGGCTGGAGATTTTTTATTCCCAGTCATTCTGTTACTTGTCCAAAGCTCATAGCTGAGAGCTTTGCTCAGCAAAACCAGGCATGAGGCAAACAGCAGTTTCCCTGCACCCGGGAGCAGCACATGACTGGGAACAGAGCATTTTATGTTGGCAGTAGTACCATGTTTCTAGTCTTCATTGGTTTACAAGCAGGCCTCTGCCCATGAGTGATCCCTTTATTTAAGTTTTTGTTGTTGTTGTTGTTTTCAGAGTCTCACTATGCAGCCCAGGCTGATATGGAACTCACTGTGTAGCCCTGCTAGCCAGATTCTCAGCGGTGGTAGGATTACAGGCATAAGCCATCATACCCAGTACCTTTTCTAAAAAAAATAAGTTAATTTATTTTACTTTATGTGTATGAATATTTAGCCTGCATGTATATATGTGTACCACATGCATGCCTCTTGAATCTCCTAAAACTGGGTTTACAGATGGTATGAGCCCCCAGGTGGGTGCTAGGATTTGAAACCAGGCCCTCTCCAAAATCAACAAGTGCTCCTACTCATCAAGCCATCTTTCCAGCCCAATACTTACTTTAAAAGTATTTTTTATAAGCAAAGTTGGAACTCATTAAGAAAGGGGTTATAGACAGGGCATTGGTGCACACACCTTTAATCCCAGCACTCAGGAAGCAGAGGCAGGCAGATCTCTGTGAGTTCCAGGCCATCCTGGTATACAGAGTGAGTTCCAGGACAGCCTCCAAAACAAAACAACTGGTTTTCAAGAAACCCTGTCTTGAAAAACCAAAAAAAAAAAGGGGGGGTTATAGATTTAAGCATAGGCTTGAGGGGAGAAGAAAGACAGACACCCATGAAAAGAACAAGTGTGTACCCAAGAGTGTAGGCATGGGCTTCTCAGGAGTGAGACACCAAGTGATTCCTTGGAGCACTTTCTGCAGTTGAGGGCTAATTTCATACCATGGAAGGATGCAAGCAAAGGATTGGCCTTGCTGGGATAGCCCCTAAATGTCAAACAATTTGGGGCTGCAGTTTGCTGGTCAGCTTGATTTACTGTGGGTTTTGCTGTCACCTCCCCCCACCCCCCTGTCCCCCGCAAGACCTTGCATTTCATTGTATGCTGCTGCATAAGAAATGACCAAAAATACTGTGGTTGAAAGTAGTACCTACATGTTGTCTTGTGATTTCCCAACATGGCTCAGTCAGCTGGGCCTTAATCAGGAGACCTGGGAAGACATCCCTCAGGTTCCCTCGTTGTTACTTCGCACTTGTAGATCAGGTCCCTGTTCATTGTTGGCTGCCAACCAGGTTGTACTGTTAGCTTCCAGAGGCTCCCTGCCTTCCTACCACATGGCCCATTTCATCTGGAATGCCAGTGGCACCTGTGGAATCCTCAGGTTTCTAAGCTTGTTGACACTTTTGTGCTGCTGTTTGGACATCTCCAATTTCAGAAGCTCACCTTACTGAAGCTGCCATGCCTGACTCCTCCACATTTTAAAGTTGTCTGTGTGGACTTACATGTCACCTGCACAGTCCTGTTGATAGCAGCAGACATTAGTTAAATAACCACAAACAGTAATCTTGGGGCTTCTCTTAGACCTTGCCCAGAGGAATCAAACCCAATTCTTGTGTGACTCCTGTCCCCAAAGAAATCTGTTATCAATGTAACCTGTACTCTTGTCTTCATCAGTAAGCAGTAAGGATCACGGGCCTGAATTGGAGGCAGAAGCTGAGCAGGGTGCTGATGAAGCTAGCCAGGACATAGCCTCTGCCCACCGGGGAGCAGAGAGCCGAGAAGAGCCAGTGCTGGAGCTGGAGCCTGAAGAAAGAGCCTCGCTGAGTGAAAAAGAGAGGCAAAACGAGGAGGTGAATGAGAGGGACAACTGCTCTGCCTCCAGCATCTCATCCTCCAGCAGCACCTTGGAGAGGGAAGAGAAGGAAGGCAAGCTGTCTGAGGACAGAACGACAGGTAAATGAAACCCTTTCTCCATGTCAGAGGCCCTGCTGTACTACAGCCTGGCCATAGGCTACCCTCCAAGGTGACGTGGGCATGGCTCACTCCCTCAGCTGTGTCACCTGTCTCACAGTGACAGCTAGCCAGCAGCTTGCCTCTAGGGTTCCCTCTCTGTGTCCTCCCATGCCGTGGGATCACTCACTTCTAAAGGTGCTGAAGAGGGTTCAGATGTCAGAACTGTGCTGAGGAAAAGAAACTACTGGTTTCCTTAATTTGTTTCAGTGTCAATGGTACCAAATGTGGCCCTTTCCAGTTCCCAATTGGTTTGGAGACATGTCACATTGTCATTTTTTCCCTTAGAAGACTTATTTGAAGGAAGTATATAAAACCACAACCAGAATAGATAGAGCAAACAAACTGAATGAGTACTTATAAAAACAGTGTGGTTAACAGTGCATGGAGGTGAATTTGACATGCTAGACCAGTACATACAGACTTTAGGTATAGTGTTACACATTGTACTTAGATGACTCTTTAATATAACCAATGTGTTTTTTCCTTATGTAACTCTGTCTTTTCAGTGTTACCCCTGCAATCCATTCATTTCACTTATGACTGGGAACTTTATAGTTAGGGACCAAGTAAATGCTAGATTGTGTATCTGGCCCCTCAGGACCTCACTGGGGCTTTAGAGACTTGGCTCAGAGGGTAATTCATACCATTAGTGTCAGCATTGGGTTTTGTTTTTTCATCCATGACTTGTATGCCATCGAGGTGGTGAAATAACAGTATTCCTTATTAGTGAAGGCATGGACTATGCTCTAGCCTTCATCAAACCACATACCAGGGCACACACTCAAGCCCCAAGGCTCCCCTTACCATTCTGTGTCATGAGCCAGGCACTGTTTAGTCTTGTTAGTTATCAGATTAAGAATATAGTCTTTGGAGTGCAGAAGAGTTAGTGAATGAATGAATGAATGAATGAAACTATTCTCTTTCCCAACAGGTCTATCAATGGCTTAGTTTAAAATAGTCACTGCTTATGTTTGTAACAGTTAGAACATGCTACTGAATTTGATTTTGCATATGACTTATCACTCTGATATGACAGGAAAGGACTCAAAGGCTATAGATTTACATCTTAGACATTATTACACTTAAATTAATATTTAGTTTCCTCAAATGATATTATAGTTATTTCTAACAGAATACTGAGCAAAATTATGATCATAATGCCAGTGTATAGGCTAAGTTTTTGATCACTTTGGTACTAAGTGTTTTTTGTGCTTTATGAGTTACTCATCTTATTTGGGCTCAGCAGCCTAAAACACATCAACAAGTTAGATTAGGAAAATTAAAACAGGGAACAGAACTTTCTTGGATCTGAGTGTGTAACATTCTTCCAAAAAAGGACAACTATGCAAAAATGGAGCCTCTGAGCTCCCAGGGACCTACTCTTAATTCTTTGCAAAGAGCAAGTAGGATCCACATGTATGTATGCAGAAACTGGAGCTTCTGGTGACCCTTCTGCTTCACTCTAGGGTTCTAAAGAGGGTTAGCTCATCTGTGGAAATTTACTGGTTCCTAAAATCCCACACTGTTCATAGCCTCTTTAGCAGCCGAGTCAAGGCAACTATGTCATAACAGCTTTTACTATTCCTCATCAAGTCACCAAGACAATTAAAACTGGAGACAACTTAAAATGCTTCAAATCCTATTTCTATCACCATTGTGTCTGTTAGTAAGAAGTGAATTTGTAGTCACACAGAGTAAAGCTTGGAGGAGACCCAACTCATTTCAGGCACCTTTGATCTTGTTGTATGTGTTCAGCTCTGAACATGGTATTTATCCTATTTTGCTATACGACACTTGATGATGAGCTGGATGAGTGCTGGGAATGTACACCCTGCTCGCTGTGAACCCCTACTTCCTAGCTGTGTGCTGAGAACAGTCTTCTCAGAGGTTGCTGAGAGCAAGCTTTGAGGGTCGACACCAAAGTTGCCATGCTATCTATCCAACAGCATTCTCTATAAAGGAAATACTCCAGGTACTTTAAAAGCACTGGAGGTGAATAGAGTAAGGTTTCTGCACTTCACTTACATTGTTAAATCCACATTAGTATACAGGATAATTTGGGGTGTTTATTGTAATTCATGGAACAACCACTAACAAATATGTATAAAGTTATTACTTTAAAACACTATTTTCAACTCAGGGTGAATTTAAAAAAAAAATGTTCAATGTTGGAGACCAAGGGAAGAGAAACAAAAGGAATAAATGTAAAAAGCAAATGAAGCAGCACATTTAACCCACAACATTTCAATTAGTAAACATTAAAAGACAGATTTAGCAGTGGATTTTTAGAAACACGCCAATTGTATGCTGCCTATACAAAACTCTTTTATTGCAAGAATCTTTTTTCATACAATATATTCTGATCATGGTTTTCCCTCCCCAGCTCCTGCCAGGTCTCTCCACCTCATCAATCAACCAACTCCATGCTCTTTCTTTCTCTTAAAAAAACAAACAAACAGGCAAACAAAAAAGCCTCACCAACCCCCACAAAAACACAAACACACAACCCCACAAAAATACAAAACCAGAGCCTGGCGTGGTATGCACACCTTTAATCCCAGCACTAGGGAGGCAGAGACAGAGGCAGGCAGATCTCTGTGAGTTGGAGGCCAACCTGTTCTATAGAGCAAATTCCAGGACAGCCAGGGCTGCACAGAGAAACCCTGTCTCAGAACAAACAATACAAAACCAGAAACCATAATATATAAGCAAAAGATCAAAAAGACAAAAAAATACCCAAGCTAAATGAGACAAAATGTCTACAAAATTATCACCGAGTAACTCTTTTCAAGCATACTGACAGAGTAAATGAAAAGTTAAGAAGCTATGTCATGCAAACAATAAAAAGTAGAAGTGTCTTATATTAATATTCAATAAATAGAATATAGTACAAAGGAAGTTATGAGGGACACTCAATAATGTACACAAGACAAAGAAACAGGCAAGAAAACCAACATTTAAAAAATAACCAACCTGTTGTCATAATAAGAAAAGCCAGCATTTCCCCAACAATGGGAAAGAATGTGGCTATCTCTTGGGAAAGACCCACTTATCTGCTATCATGGCAGTCTCCCTGATTCCCAGGAGAGCTGTGCTGATGTAAACTGGGATTGAGCAAGAGTGGGGCATGAGGAAAGTGGTGCGGTTCTGGCTGTGGTGTGAAAGTTTATCAGCAGGTGCCTTGATGTGGGGGATCTCAAAGCAGGTGCCAATGACTGGAACTGGAAGTAAGGCGGAGGAATTTGCCATTGCAGAGATGGCACACTATTCCAGAATTAGCTTGCAAAGTCTGGGCTGGAAGACCCATTTATCTATGAGTGGTCTTTAAAGCTCTGAGATTAGAGTAAACGGTGACTGAAAGAGTGAGTGAGGTCAACGTTGAGGAAGAAGCCAAGAAGGATGGAAGAGGCAGATGGAAAGAGGGAAACAAACCAGGTGAGTGTCAAGTCCAGAATGGAAGGCTAAGACCCTGAAACTCTCTGACTACCTGGAAAGGGACAGTGGTGAAGGACTGGGTGAGCAGAAGCTGCATTCCTATGTGTCTTAGAAAGATGAAAGGAAAAAACTGGAGATGCGATTGAAACAGCTTTAAAAAGCAATGTTATCTTAAAGGAAAGGATCAAACGTTGGGAGCGAGGTGGAGATGTAAGAGGAGTCAAGAGAGGCTGTAAGATGGGAGAAAGCTAAGTGATGTCAATGCCAGAGGAAAGCCCTGTGGGATGGGAGGGACAGAAAGGACCTAGTGGGAGGGGCAGGAAAGCACTGGGGAGAGAACCATGGGAGAAGCAGGGAAGAGAATTACCCCAGTGGTTTCCTAACACACCAGCAGAGTGGCTAGTCCTACTAAGGGAAAGTTGTGGGTAGTCACAAGAGAAAGGCTGTGCCTGAGTTCTCGTGCAGGTAGGAGGCTGGAGGTTGAATGGCAGACTGGTAAATTGCAAAAGCAAGTCAACTCAGATGATGAGCTGTGCAGGCAAGTGAAAGGAAAGAGGGGCCCTGGGGGAGTCATTTCGGAGAAAGTAGCATTAAGCCCCTGGAGATGAGACCGTGAACTTGAATTGATGGCCTTTTTGCGGTACAGAGTTATGGGAGAGATGTCCTGTTAGCACTTGCCTTGGACCAGGTGGGCACTTCCTGCCTTGCCTAGTCTAGTTACAACAGATATCCTTTAGCTATGTAAGTTGGGATAGATTCTGACCACCTGCCATGAGAGAAGGGAAGGGAAGAAGTTATATAGTGCAGGTGGGAGTCAAGAGTGCATACATTTGGGAGGGCTGGAGACCTGGAGCAAGTCATTAGCTGTGAGCATCTGCTTTGATTACCTTATTTTAGTGTCTTCTTTGGAGTTGTTCCTGTGCTCCTGCCTCTTTTCATGCAGAACTGGTTTTCTTGTGGAATGGAGGCCCTGTGCCTCTCTCTTATCTCCTCCTTCCCATGTCCTTTCAGGTTTATGGTCCACCAGTCTTCAGGATGTGGGTGTGAATGGACAGTGTGGTGACATCCTTACCAGCAAAAGGTTCATGCTGGATATGCTGTATGCCCATAACAGAAAGTCCACAGATGATGAGGAGAAGGGTGATGGCGAACCAGGGAGGGAGGTGGAGCCAGTGGCCAGTCTTGCCACCAGGATATCCACTTTGCAGGCCAACTCCCAGGCCCCGGAAGAGAGCATCAAGAGAGTGGACATTGGCTGTCTGGACAGCCAGGGCTGTGTAAAGGCATTTGCTGAGAAATTCAACAGTGGAGACCTGGGGAGAGGCT